TATTCATATGTGTTTAAGCAGTGTTGTGAGGTGCAGTTGTTGAGTCATTTGTAGCAGAGAGCAGCCCCGTATGACAGAGTACTGCTGCCCCATGGGGCTCTCTTGGTTATAATCTTTTAGGAAGCAAATCACCACTGCCAACCTTCTTGTTAGCAGCCACATGCCTATATCCGGACATTTTGCCCTTACAAAGTGAAAACTGAGTAGCTTTTAATCTATTCAGAGTTGTGTACCCATCACCACAATCTAATTTTAAAATACTTCCCTCATTTCTAAAGGAAATCCTGGCTAAAATGGAAAACTTTCGGGCTTTGGGGACTACCGTAAAAAATGTGAAAATATAAACAGAATGGGAGAAAGTAATTGCACATCTTAAATCTAGTTAGGGACTTGTTGAAAAATGCTGTCGAGTCAGGTCCGACTCATAGCGACCCTATATGGACAGGGCTTCCAAGGAACAGCGGTAGGTTTGAACTGTTGACCTTGTGGTCTGTAGTCTAGTACTGATCCTGTAGTACCACCACACCAGAAGTCCAGCAAAGGACTTTGGGTATATTTAAAAACTAAAAAGACACCCTAATTTTTAAATGGGTACAGGATTTGAATACTCATGTGTTTAAAGGAAATAAACAAATACTGAGTATTAGTATCCATCAGGAAAATGCAACGCAAAACCACAATGAGCTTACCACTATGATAGTTATGATAAAAAAGGTAGACAATAACAAGTGTTGGCAAGGATATGGCGACACGGGAGCCCTCAGTCATACACGGGAGTGTAAAATGGAATAGTGTGCCAGTCCTCAAGACCTTAAACACAGAGTTACCATTGTTGTTGGGTGCCATCGAGTCGGCTAACAAAAACTACCTGATCCTGATCCATCCTCACAAATGTTGTTAGGCTTTAGTCCAGTGCTCCTGCCACTATGCCAGTCCGTCTCATTGGGGGGCTCGTCCTCTTTAGCACTGACCCACCACTTCACCAAGCATGATATTCTTCTCTACGGACTGGTTCCTCCTGATAATATGTTTCAAGTATGAGTTACCCTGTGATAACAGCATTTCACTAGGACTATCCCCACGAGCAATAAAAACATGGTGCCCACCATACACTTGTACCCACACGGGGTTTCTTTGGGGGTGATGGAGTGTTCTAAAATTAGATTGTGGTAATGATTACACTGCTCTGTGAATATACTAACAATCATTGAACTTTAAAATCAATAGATTACTTGGTATATGAGTTATATCTCAATAAATTTGTTTAGATAAAAAAATTAAAACAAGCTAAAAAGGAACATCCTCAACACTACCACCCATGAGCAAACCCTCCTCCTTCCTACCTCTGACAAAGTCTAATCTGTCTGGGGGCTGTATGGATTTGCTACTCTGGTTAGTTTATGAAGATGGAATCAGATAAGATGTGGTCTTCTTTGCTAGGCTTGCTCACTTAGATAAATTATATCTTCAAGGTCCATCCATATATATCAAGACTTCATTCCTCTTATATTACCAAATAGTACTCCGTTGTATGGGCAGACAGCATTTTGTTCATTCGCTTACCAGTGGATGGACCTCTGGGTCATTCCCACTTCTTAGCAACCATGAATAATACTGCTGTGAATACAGGTGGATACATAGATTTCAGCTCTCCTGGGTGTATGGACCTGAGAGTGGAATTGACTGGTCCTATGGTATTACTATGTGATTAACTTTTTGAAGAGCTGCCAAGCTGTTTTCCAAAAGTAGCTGCACCATTTTTACAGTCGAACCAGCAATAGATTTCTAAGTCAAGCTAGGTTACGTACTCCTTAAAGCAATTTTCTCAAATTCTCAGTCAGTTTCTCCCCTTTTCCTGTTCCCCACACAAGGCCACATAATCCCTTGATTGGCAGACAACGGATTAAACCCATAATTGTAGGGCTTTCCCACCCCTACCTCGGAACACACGTCCTCACCAGTTTCCAGACCCTGTTGAATCTGAGATTCCACCCAGCGTTCTTCCCAGGCATCTTACCAGCAGAGCTCTCTTGAATAGTAGACGCCATTCCTTAGACCTCTAGTTAAGAAAGCCATCGGAAAAATCTATGTGAAGCTATCTTAACACCAGGGATTTTTTACACACATACATCTCTGTTTTCTGTTTCAGACAGATTTCTGTAGCAGTCTTAGCACTGTAAGATGCATGGGGGGCATCTGTCTCATCTCACACTCCCACAATCCACTGAGTGCAGTCAGACTCAGCCACAAGCTGTGTGTCCATGTTGACTGTGTGTGTTACAGCAGAACTGCTGCAGAGCGTTTTCAGGGGCTCTGATTTTTCAAAGGAGTCCTCATGGTGCAATGGGTTAAGTGTTGAGCTGCTAACCACAAGCTCAGCAGTTCAAACCCACCAGAGAAAGATGAGGCTGTCTGCTCTCGCAAAGATTACAGTCTCAGAAACCTTATGGAGCACTGTCCTATAGGATTGCTAAGAGTTGAGATGGACTTGAATTCAGTGAGTGGGTTTATGATCTCTAAGATGTAAATCACCAGGCTTTTCTTTAGCGGTACCAAACCTCCAACCTATTAGTTAGCAGTTGAGTGCATTAATGGTATACCACCTGCACTCAGCCTTTAATGTGCTGGACTGCAAAGTTGGTTTGAACTACAAGGTCAACAGTTCAAGCTCACCAGCTGTTCCTCGGAAACTGTATACAGGGTCGCTATGGGTTGGAACTGACTCAACAGTTTTGGAGTCCTGGTGTGATACTGTGGGTTAATGCACTGGACTACAAAGTCAGTTTGAACTCCAAGGTCAGTGTGATTTGATCTCAACAGCAGCTCCTTGGAAACCCTATAAAAGGTCGCTGTGGGTCGGAACTAACTCGACGGCACTTAACAAGAACAAAGACTCCTAGTCAGTCATCGTTGTGTGCCATTGAGTTGATTCCAACTAACCCTGTGTTGGGTTTCTGTGGCTGGTAATCTTTACAGGAGTAGAAAGTCTTCTCTTTCTCCTGTGGAGTGGCTAGTGGGTTCAAACCATTGATCTTGTGGTTAGAAATACAGTTCTTATTCTATAGCATCACCAGCACTCCTAGTTAGTTGTTACTGACTCACATGACCTTGTAGGGTTTCTCAGGCTTTACTGTGGAGTGGCTGGTGGGCTCCAACTGTCAACTTTGTGGTTCACAGTCTAGTGTTTATCCTATGCAGCAACCATGCTCCAAGTCACTCATTGTTATTATTGTTAAGTGCCGTTGAGCCTATTCTGACTTACAGCGACCCTGTATAGGATTTCCAAGGAGTGGCTGATGGGCTTGAACTGCTGACCTTGCAGTTCAAACTGACCATTTGGTTCAGTGCTTATCCTGAACGCCACACCAGGACTACACAGTCAGTCATTTGTTGTTGTTATGTGCCATCGAGTCAGTTCCAACCCATAGCGACCCTGAACAGGGTTTCCGAGGCTGTAAATGTTTACGGGAGCAGACACCCTCATCTTTCTCCCACAGAGCAGCTTGTAGTTTCGAACTGCTGACCTTGTGGTTCACAGCCCGATTCGTAACCACTACGCTACCAGAGCTCCAGTCAGTCATTACATATCCTTACATCCGGTTGTGTTTTCAGCCTCTTCTGCATTATGTGGGTCACAGAGTTCTCCCTTTCACTTGTTCCAACATGGCCTCTCTAAACTTTTGAGGATTGCTGCTTTGGCCAACTAAAAGATTTGGTGCAAATCTGACTGTTCACCATTTCTGCCCTCTTACTATTGGAGCAGAATGTTTCCTTCCAACCTATCATCTTTTCTTTCACAATAGAAAGTTCTAATGTTTCAGCACACTCTCACATGTCGAGTATCTCTGTATGTATTCATGGTCTCCAGGTGTTGGGCAGGCTCGTCTTCCCAGGGCAACATAAACCCTTCTGGGCCTGGCACAAAGTGGACGTGCATCGCTCAATGGATATTGCTGAGTGGAGGAATACGTTTTGTTTTATTAATGCAATCAATGCGTGTTCTATGTATTGCTTATGAGCTATGCACTAACTGTGTTCTCTTTTGTAGGCTATAGGCTGTACTCTGAACTGCAATTGCCCAAGTTTCAAACCAGGAAAAATAAACCACCGGCAGTGTGAGCAATGCAGACATGGATGGGTGGCCCATGGTAACTTTTTTTTTTTTTTTTTTTGTCTTTTGACTTGTACTGTTCCCTCTAAAGGAGCCCTGGTGACGTAGTGGGTATGCCGTGGGCTGCTAACTGTGGGATCAGTGGTTTGAATCTACCTCAGGAGAAAGACTAGGCTGTCTGCTCCCACAAAGATTTGGTGGTGGTGGTGGTTATGTGCCGCAGAGTCGGTTCCAACTCATAGCGACCCTGTACAGGGTTTCTGAGGCTGTAAATCTTTACGGGAACAGAAAGCCTCATCTTTCTCCCACGGAACAGCTGGTAGTTTCGAACTGCTGACCTTGAGGTTCGCAGCCCGATTCATAACCACTATGCTACCAGAGCTCCATAAAGATGTATAACCCTAGAAACCCTATGTTTGGTCACTGTGGGTTGGAACCAACTCGCTGTCAATGGGTAGGTTAGGTTCTCTCTAAACACTCTAATTATTTGTTGTTGTTGTTAAGTGTCATTGAATCGATTATGACTCATAGTGACCCTATATAGGGTTCCAAGGAACAGCTTGGGGGTTTGAACTGCCACCTTGTGGTTCAATTCAATCTGTGTTCCAGTGCTTGTCCTGTAGTACCACACGAGAACACCGTTATTTAGGACCCAATTAAATATAGAAGAATTTGGTATCTAATTTGATACCAAATAGCAAACAGCTAACATATATAAATGACCACTGTATTCCAGGGAATGCATTACAAGCTTTATATGTGTTATCTTTACACATGTTATCTCTACGTGTGTTCTCTCTACATGTCTTGTCATGTGTGTTATTTCTACGTTATCTCTTTACATGTGTTTATTTCTACATGTGTTATCTCTGTACTCATTACTGTCTTTACATGTGTTCTCTCTACATGTGTTCTTAATCTACATGTGTTTTCTTTATCTCTACATGTGTTATCTCTACATGTGATATCTCTTTACTCATTACCATCTTTACATGTGTTTTCTCTACATATGTTCTTAATCTACATGTGTTTTCATCTCTACATGCTATCACTACATGTGTTATCTATACATGTGTTGCCTCTACATGTGTTGTCTCTTTGTATGTGTAATCTACGTGTGGTATGTGATACGTTATTAACCCCCTCCTTAAGATGCAGAAACTGGTACTTCAGCACTGTTGTTCTACTTGCCAAGCGTTGCCAGCAAAACTACAAAACACGCTGTTCAATTTCAATTTCAGATCAACTTTTATTACAAAGTGTGTCCTAATGACAATTTTTAGTATAAGTATATCCCATTGATTCATTACTCATCTGTAATTTAACTGGGCATCCCGTATTGTTTTTTGTTTTTTTCTGAATCTGACAACTCTGCACTAGTCACATGTGGCTCCTGAGTACTGGAAATGTGACCGGTGTGACTGAGAACTGAATTTCTCATTTGAATTCATCGACGTCTAAATTAAATAGTCACATGGGGCTTGTGACTGTGGTATTGGCAAGCACAGGTTTCAGTGGTTTCATTTGCCAAATCCGACAAGTGGAAAACAGCCGATTCGGGCTCAAACCCAGATCCTAACCCAGGTTCTCCACCTCGAGCCTCCTATCTTCCTGATGAGCCATCATCCTAATTATCCACCTGTGTTTTACTCCCTCCCTGTTTGCAGCGGCCCCACTGCTTAGAGCTACCACATTGCCAGGCAAATGAAACCCTTAGTTCAGGTCACGTTATTGGAGCAGCTTCTGTGATTCCTGGAGCCTGGTTGCTATTAAGGTTGTTAATTGAATGCACATTTGCATTTTTTCTATTAGGCGAGAGAAATGACTAAAAGTTAGTTGTGGTGGTTGTGTGCCACCGACCCTGTATAGGATTTCTGAGGCTGCACATCTTTACAGGAGCTTCTGTCTCCTGCAGAGTGGTTGGTAGACTCGAACTGCTGACCTTGTGGTTAGCAGCCCACCTCGTAATGCATTATGCTACCAGAGCTCCATGAAAGTTACCTATAATCTGCATTTTATTCAGTGTGTCTCCTTAAAGTGTAACCTTCAAAATGACATTTCCTCCATTTGACTTTTCAGCTCTAAGTAAACTGAGGATCCCCCCTGTGTATCCAACAAGTCAGGTGGAGATTGTCCAGTCCAATGTGGTGTTTGATATTAGCAGTCTCATGCTGTATGGGACCCAAGCCATCCCTGTTCGCCTGAAAATCCTCCTGGACCGGCTCTTCAGTGTGCTGAAGCAAGATGAGGTCCTCCAGATCCTCCACGCCTTGGATTGGACCCTTCAGGATTACATTCGTGGCTATGTGCTACAGGTACAAGGCCCATTCTCCTCGAATGCCTTCTGAAACCCCTGTCCACGTAACTTACGTAACACTTTGCCTACCAGCGCAACAACCAGGTGTGGCCATCTGCCCTTGCCTATTGTTTCTAATAACTTGAATACTATTTCATCTTTTGGAGGGAGTCCACTGTTTTTGCCAAGATTTCTGTGATGCTCCAGATGATGGGAGCTTTGTGTGTCCTCTGATTTGGGTTTCACAAAGCCAGCTCTTCCACAGTAAACCATGTGTTCCATCCTGGGTGCTACCTCCAAGTCTGCTGTTATCCCCAAACTATTCTGTGGACACAGAGTTCCTGAATGATGCCCACAGTTATTAACATGCTTTAATGCTCATTGGGGAGTCCTAGTGTGTGTGGCACTGTAGGATAAAAACATTGGACCGTGAGGTTGGTTTGAACTGCAAGGTCAGTGGCTCAAACTCAGCAGCCACTCCTCGGAAACGCTATTCCGGGTCAGCTGGGTAGAAGAATTACATCTGCTTTAGGAAAAATAGTAGTCATTGAAAACCCTGTGAAGTGCAGTTTCTCTGACACTCATGGGAGCTGCATCAGCAACTGTTTACTGGTACCTAGTGACTCCAGGCACTCAGATTTTATTGAGGGTTTGAGGGTGAAAACAGAAACTTACATTACAAACCACACAGCAGACACCTTCCACACCTAGTTTTTAAAAGCCCTCTTCCCTCCCACTGCTGGTTTTCCATCACAAGCTCCGTCTGCTTGTGATCCTCCTGTGTATTCACGCTCCTGCTTATCTTCTCTCTTCATGAGCCCTCTCCATTGTTGCAGGCCCTTGGTTCCTTCTCTCTATATCTTGCAGAGTAATTTTGCCTTTCTTTCTAGCCCATGCGATGGGGTAGGCCTCATGTTTCATATCCACAGACTATCAAGGTGTTCCCTTAAGCCAAGGGCGTGTTTCCTGATAGGAATTAGATCATTCTTCTAGCACATGAAACAGCTACGACGTTTTTTTCTTGTCCTAGCACTAGAAAATGTCCACTAACTCTGGTAACAATTTTAATGACATGGGGGAATAAATGTATTTCCAAGACGAACACAGACTTCATCCTCCATCAGATAGGACATACCATTAACCCAATACCAAACCAACTGCCATTGAGTTGATTCTGATTCATAGCGACCCTATAGGACAGTGTAGAAGTCCCCCCCTAAGGTTTCCAAGATTGTCAATCTGTGCAGAAGTAGTCTACCTCATATTTCTCCTACCCAGAGGCTGGTGGGTTCAAACTGCTGACCTTGAAGTTAGCAGCCCAACTCTAATCCCACGGGGTTCCTCATAACATTAAACTGAATGCTAATAGCAAAGATTGATTAGCAGAGACCCTTTCCTGGACTCCATGCGTATCACCCCTAATCCTCAAAATAGTCTAATGAGGTCACATGCATGTTACTCCCATTTTCAGGTTGAAAAGCCAGAGGCCCAGTGCTTGACATCTTGCAGGAAGTCCCTCAGCTAGTATGTGGCAGACCCACTTCTTTCTACTCTAAAACCCAGACGGAATCTTTCCCTGTAAACATGTTTGCACCAAACATGAGTGCAAGGCCCCCAGCAGGCTAGAAACCACCTTTTATGTAGAGCAGCATTATCATCTTACATTATGACATGGATCAATATTTAATGATCCTGATAATCTTGCTTTTTAGTGTTAGGATTAAAAATATGGAATCAATTACCTTCAACCTCGATTACATGAAAAATTTATGATGTTGCATTTCTCCTCATCTTTGTAACTCTTACATGCACAGTGAAGAATCTCAGTAGGCCATCAAGTACATGTTCTGTGATAAAATATTTATTGTCATTTTAGGAAAAGTTAGACCTGGCTAGAGTTTGAAAGATCTCCAGCACTCCAGTGTAATTACAGCTCTGCTTTGTGAACCTGGGCAATGGATCAATATCAGCTCGTTTGTTTTCTGCTGCTAGTCACTTGGGAAGATTATTAAACTTGCAGCCAATGAATACTGGAGCTGTATCTAGACCTGATTGCTCAGTTTTATGTTCTTTAGATTAAGAAGTTGCTGTCACTCGAATTATGCATTTTAATTTTTGTGGGGAAATTATCGTACTGAATGTATGACATAGGAGCCCTGGTGGTGCAGCAGTTAAGCACTCAACTGCTAACCAAAAGGTTGGCAGTTCAAAACCACCAGTTGTTCGGAAGGATAAAGATGTGGCATTCTGCTTTTGTAAGGATTACAGCCTTGAAAAGCCCTGTGGGAGAGTTCTACCCTGTCCTCTGGGGTCTAATGACTCAGTGTCACCCAACAACAACAATGTAGAAAATAAACACCCAATTTCCCAGACTTGAGCTAAGTAATATCATTTTTATTTCTCTCTTTTGGACCAGATGTATGGCCACCCCTTAACATCTGTGCAGTTTGCTATGTCTGTGTACAGAGTTTCTGGTCAAATGGAATGTGGGGGGCAGGAGGGGTTTGGACTCCTCAAGCCATATGCTCATCCAGACAGGGCATCCTTTTCTCATGGGTCCAAAGGTGTCCTGTAAGTTAGTCAGAGTCCTTTTTAGAGAAACGGGTCTGAAATCGTAAATTGAGTATACTGTTTAATCCTGGTTTGCATTTGTGTTTAGGATGCATCGGGGAAGGTTTTGGACCACTGGAGCATCATGACCAGCGAGGAGGAAGTGGCCACCTTGCAGCAGTTCCTCCGCTTTGGAGAGACCAAGTCCATAGTGGAGCTCATGGCAATTCAGGAGAAGGAAGAGCAGACCACCAGCATGCCACCTTCTACGGCCAGTGTGGACATCAGGACTTTCATTGAGAGCTGTAGCCACAGGAGCCCCGGCCTCTCCACTCCTGTGGACAAAGGAAGCCCCAGTAGTACCCACCCCTTCGAGAGCCTCATCAACAACATGGCATTCATGCTGCCTTTCCAGTTCTTCAACCCTGTGCCCCCTGTCTTGATAGGCTCACTGCCCGAACAGTTTATGCTGGAGCAGGGTCAGGACCCAAGTCAGGACCCCAAGCAGCAAATCCACGACTCTTTACCCGACAGCAGCTTCTTGACTTCCAATTCCACACCATTTCACGTTGAAAAAGAGCCATGTTTAAACTGCCCAGAGAGTGATACTCAAAAGGAGGACAGTGCCCACTTAAGTGACTCCAGCTCATACAACATCGTCACTAAGCTCGAAAGGACTCAGTTGTCCCCTGAGGCCAAATTGAAGCCGGAGAGGAACAGCCTGGGCACAAAGAAGGGCCGGGTGTTCTGCACTGCCTGTGAGAAGACCTTCTACGACAAAGGCACCCTCAAGATCCACTACAATGCCGTGCACCTGAAGATCAAGCACAAGTGCACCATTGAGGGCTGCAACATGGTGTTTAGCTCCCTGAGGAGCCGCAACCGCCACAGCGCCAACCCCAACCCGCGGCTGCACATGCCAATGAACAGAAACAACAGGGACAAGGATCTGCGCCACAGCCTGAACCTGGCCAGCGCGGAGACCTACAAACGCCCAGGTTTCTCCGGGACTTCCCCAGACTGCAGGCCTCTCCCTGGCTACCCTGGCTCCGGGGAGGACCCCAAAGGCCAGCTGACCTTCTCCTCGAGCCTCGGGCACAACGGTGTGCTGTTTCCCAACCTCAAGACGGTCCAGCCGGTCCTTCCTTTCTACCGCAGCCCGGCCACTCCAGCTGAGCTGGCCAACACACCTGGGATGCTGCCTTCTCTTCCACTGTTGTCCTCTTCGATTCCAGAACAGCTGGTTTCAAACGAAATGCCCTTCGAGGCCCTTCCTAAGAAGAAATCCCGCAAGTCCAGTATGCCTATCAAAATCGAGAAGGAAGTTGTAGAGATCGCCACCGAGAAGAGGCATGCCCTCAGCTCAGATGAAGACATGCCCCTGCAGGTGGTCAGTGAGGGTGAGCCCGAGGCCTGCAGCCCTCGATCAGACCAAGCACACGAGGAGCAGCGCCCACTGTCAGGATACTTGGGGAAGCCTCTTCCCGAAGGAGAGGGACCCCACCATTTCAAGTCAGTGATAGAGTCCCGGGGAACCATCTTCCGAACCCCCGAGCAAGCCATGCACCACTCAGAGAAGGAGCCTGAACGGAAGGCAGTGTTGAGCTTGGTGCCGAGGGAGGTTGAGGACAGTGGCTGTGAACACCATTTCCCCCCCGGGATGGAGCCCCTCGGTCCCTTTCCTGACTACATCAAACTGCAGCAGCACCTGCTCGCCGGGGGTCTCTTCAGTGCACTGTCCAACAGGGGAATGGCATTTCCTTGTTTCGAAGATTCTAAAGAAACGGATCATGCGGGCCAGCACACACCGGCGAGGCCAAAGAAAGAAAGCCGCTTCCAATGTGACATCTGTAAGAAGACCTTCAAAAACGCTTGCAGTGCGAAAATGCACCACAAGAATATGCACCACAAAGAAGCACACCTGTGCACGGTGGAGGGCTGCAGTGCCGCCTTCCCTTCCCGCAGGAGCAGAGACAGGTAAGATGGCTGTTGGCAGCCGCTCATCGTGAAGTAGTGGGTCTTCACCATCAGAATCACCTGCAGGGCTGTTGGGCCCCAGCCCCAGGGTTCCTGCTTCAGCTAGTCAGGGAAGTGGGCTCGAGTTTGTAGTCAAACACGTTCCCAGGTGATACTGCTGATTGCTGCTGGTCTAGGAACCACCGTTCGCGGATTATAGTTCTACAGGCCCACATTCCTGAATTTCTAATTTCAAAATCCATAGTACCTGGCCTGAGATGATGTTAGTAAGCAAGTGTCACCCTTTTTATCACTCGTCCTTGATGTGAATTTTTAAATATGTTCTTTGTTGTTAAAGTGCTGTTGAGTTGTTCTCACACACAGCGACCCTGTATAGGGTTTCCGAGGAGCAGCCGGTGGGTTTGAACCACCGGCTTTGCAGTTAGCAGTCCAGTGCTGATCCAACAGCACCTCCTCAGGACTCCAGCAACATTAATGGGTTGATGACAGGGATTTTAGCATAAAATGTTTGAACTGCAAGGTCAGCCATTCAAATTCACCAGTTGTTCCTTGGAAACCCTGTATAGTAAAGGGTCACGACAAGCCGGAACCGACTCGATGGCACTTAACAACAACATTACAGTATATGTACCATTCTGTTTATCTGAAGTCTGAGAAGTTCTGTATTCAGAAACATCTGGCCCCAAAAGGCTTGGGATACGGAATCATAAACTCGTTCTCACATTAGTAGTTTAGGTAAAAAATAAATAGTAATTTGAAGAGGAGAAAGGAGGAAGCGTTTTAAATATCCCTGTAACCTCCCAAGATGTGTCCAGTTTCCATTTTGTAATAGATGCTCATCCATGGAACATTTGCTCGGATTTCTAGTTAACACTGTGTATGTGGGAAGAAGACTAACTTCTTAACTGAAGATTTTCAGGATATTAACATAGGACAGGATAGAGGCACTTGGCAAGTTACTTCAGAGTCTGTGATGTGTGAAGGGGAGTAGTGTGTTGGGGTGGGGTTCTCATGACAGGCAGCTAAACTGTGTACAATGTGCCCAAAGATAGAGCAGATCTCAAGACTCCAGGGGGCAGTGCCAGGCTACCAGGTGGTATGGGCTTTTCCTAATGAACTCCAGTAAGTTAGGTACTCTTCAGGTCACCCACCTCCCCAACTGCTCAGGAAAGAGCCAGCATGCCCAAGAGGAACCTACCCCCTACCCCCTATCCACCCCCCGCAAGGCTTAAGGACAGAAAGCTGTCTGATGAAATGGAATTGGAAACACCCTAAATGGGTCATAGAATGTTAAGTGCTGCAGTTGCTCCAAGTTGAAGCACTTCAACAACACTACTCCTGTTGTTAAGTGCTGTGAGTTAGTTCCAACTCTTAACAACCTTGTGTAGCGTGTTCTAGGAGCGGCTGGTGGGTTTGAACCACCGACCTTGCGGTTAGCAGCCATTGCTTATCCTACTGTGCGGCACCAAGATCCTAGACAATACCACTTGCTTCATCCAAATTGCAATGCCTAACATATTAAGAAGAAGAGAAAATACAGGAACACATGTTTTGTTTCTAGGGAACTGGCTAGAGCACAGGTGATACTAGTTAAAACCCCCCGGCTACCCTGATTCCTGAACCAGTCCACCCTTCATGGTCATCATTCTAAGAGGAAGGAGTGTTGTTCTGAATGAGCCATTGTGAATAAGACAGGAAAACCCTGATAGCACGCTGGCTTAGTGCTTGGATGTTAATGGAAGTGTGATGAACCCACCATTCCCGGTAATCTGCTTCTGTAAAAGTTACAGCCTTGGAAACTCTGTGGGCCATTTTACTGTGTCCTACATAGAGTTCTAAGGAACTCTGGTAGCATAGTGGTTATGAATCGGGCTGCGAACCTCACAGTCAGCAGTTCGAAACTACCAGCTGTTCCGCGGGAGAAAGATGAGGCTTTCTGCTCCTATAAAGATTTACATCCTCGGAAACCCTGTTACAGGGTCACTGTGAGTCGGAACCGACTCCATGGCACATCACAACAACAACAATATGGAGTCCTGGTGTGGCGCTGTGGCCTAATGCATCAGACTGCAAAGTCGTTTGAACTGCAAGATCGGTGGTTCAAGCTCACCAGCTGCCCCTTAAAACTGTATAGGGTCGCTATGGGTCGGAATAGACTCAACAGCACTTAACAACAACAACAACATAGAATCAATCACTGGGAATGTGGTAGCTCCATATGATAAGCTTTGGACTACAGGGTCTGCAGCTCGAACCCACCAGCTTCTGGAGAAAGATGAAACTTTTCTGCTTCCACAGAGATTCAAAGCCTTGGAAACCCTATACAGTGTTGCTGTGAGTCAGAACCAACTGGACCATACTTAACAACAACAAATAGGGTCACTGGAGTGTTGGTATGGCACTGTAGGGTAAGCACTGGACTACTAGCCACAAGGTCAGCACTTCAAATCCACTAGCTACATGGGGTCGCTATGGGTCGGAACCGACTCGATGGCACTTAACAACAGAAGTATTGGGTTTGGTTTTCATGAAGACACAATCTTATCAGTGAGATTATTCTCAGTATTTATGATATTGTTTTAGCCTACAATATCTACTAAATTAGCAAGCATACTGATTTCAAGTCCTGGTGTGGCACTGTAGGATCAGCACTGGACTGCTAACCATAAAGTCAGTGATTCAAACCCACCAGTCACTTCTTGGAAACTGTGTGCAGGCTCATTATGAGTTAGAACCAATTCAGTGGCACTTAACAGCAACAGTAACTGATTACAAGCTCGTTTTGGATGTTTTGTTAGATATCTGTTACAGAAAAAGCATCTGACTTTCTAAACTAAAGCTCCTGATCCCAGCCATCTAGAACTCAGAATGTATTCTACCTAGAATCGATGGGAAAGGTGGTCCCATATTAGATAGGGCTTTGTGGGCAGACTCTGTGAGACAGAGATGGACACTGCATGGTAGAAGGGTGATTGACCCCCAGAGCAGCTCCTGAGGTCCAGCAGGAGGGTACTGGGACACCTTATCCAGTCAGCAAATACGTGTTAAGGACTTTCTGTGTCCCTATACATGAAGGCCTTCAGTGTGTAGGGAGCGGGCCACAGAACAGTCAGCACGCCATCACAGCTGTGTGTGCTGAGTGTTAGGATGGGGACAAACAGGAGCACATCCTGCCAGACTTTGCAAGACGTGAGGGAAGGGGGTATCTAAACCAGCGTTCTGGAATGTTTTGGTCTCGAGACTCCTTCCCAAACTCTTAGAACCTGAGGCCCTTCTAGAACTTTTGTCTCCCTGGGACTTTGATACAAGGGGGCTTCAAAAAGTTAATGGAATTTTTCCATTATCATTTGATTTGATTTTTTCACAAACTTTTTGAAGCCCCCTTGTATCACAGTTTACCATATTAGAAATTAAAATGGAAAAAAACCTTAATGTTTATTTCTCATATCCCTTAAAAGCAGTAACAAACCTATTACATGTTAACATAAATACCATGTTTGTTTGTTTTTCCAGTAGCCACATTTTCCAAGATAAGAATTTTAGTGAGAAGAGTGGCTTTGTTTTACATTTTTTGCAAATGTCTTTCATGCCCGGCTTAGCCGAAGGGAGCTGCAGTTTCTGGTCTGTTACTGCCTTCTGTCTGTTGTAGTAGCACATGGCACACCGCTGCCTGGAAACTCGGCTGTTCAATGAGAGGCTCATGAAAGGATGAGCGTGAACAAGCCAACGTCTTTGTAGTGCTATGACAGGCGTCCTGGTGTGGCGCTGAAGGATCAGCACTGGACTGCTAGCTGCAAGGTCGGCAGTTCAAACCCACCAGCCGCTCCTTGGAAACTATATACAGGGTAGCTATGACTCCTAACAACAGCAACAATCGCTGTGCCTCAGGATCCCTGTTTGCATAGTGAGTTACACTGTTGGGCTGCTAATTGCATGGTCAGCGGTTCAAATCCATCAGCAACTCTGAGGAAGACGGTGAGACTGCCAGCTTCTGTGTTAGGTCTCAGACACCCTAGGGAACAGGTTCGCCTCTGCCATGTCAGGTCCCATAAGTCAGACTCAACTCAATGGCAGTGGGTGTCACTATGAAAATAGGATTGACTTTGAGGGGTACCCCTGAAGGGGTCTCAGGATGACTAGGGGTATGGAGAGCACACTGAGAACCTCTGGTCTGTATTGATTTAGACAGTGAGAAGCCAGGGGAGACCATTTGTAGAGAAGGGTAGAGTTAGAGAGGAAAAAGAGACAGTCCTTTGGGCATAGTGTTAGCAAAGTCCCGGAAGCAGAAAGCTTGGCACGTGGTCCAGATGACTTTTACAGTTCTGACAGTCACCAGTCTTAGGGGACACAATGCCTCAGGAAACGTGTCTAAGCCTCCAAGGCCACAAGTTAGCTCTTGGTGTTCATGGGACTCTTGGGACAGCAGAAACCTCTCTGTAAATGATTCCAGTAAATGTGTTTGTCTGGCTTTTTTTTTTTTTTTTTTTTTTAAACCACTTACATGTACTGGAATCTGTATGACAATCTAGTGTCTGGTTTCCTGCGGACGCACACCGCCCCCTTCAGCCCCAAACGCTGACATAATCACAGGGCAGTGTTGCCGCTGACAAGAGCTGCTTGCATAGTGGGTGATCTGGGAGAATCCTTCTGACCAGGGCCAGAAAAAGAGTGACATGGGGAGAGTGAGAAAGGGTGGCAGGCACATACATTTCATACATTGTCTTTGTTAAAATAAGAGGGGGCTTCAAAAAGTTAGCGGAATTAAAAGATAACGGATTTGTTTCACAGACTTTTTGAAACCCCCTCGCATAAGTAAATCCAAAGAACAGGCACGCATCGTTGGAGATTCAGAAGAAAATTCAACTGTGAACTCTGGATGAAGGTGCTTTTCCAAGTTTGACCTTGGCATGTATTCCATTCTGTACTTGAGGAGATGTATATCATTTTCTTAGGCACTAGACCGCTAGCCTCAAGGTTGATGGTTCAAACCCACCAGCCTCTACCGGGTCGCTGTGAGTCAGAACTGACTCGACAGCACTTGACAACAACAATCACCTTTAAATTGGTGCCGGCTGATTTTGCCTGTCAGAAGTTAGCCAGAGAATATCCGAGTAAGGCCACTGATTGACAAGTTATATCCAAATGATAGCGTATGCAGAAAAGGCCTGGGCCGTAATGGATACTCACTCTCTTACCTTCAGAAGTAATCACTGGGTAAAAGATTGGTGGTATGTGCACCGTGCTGCATTTGCAAAACTCCTGTCTGGTATAGAGTGAAACGTTGCAAATATGAACCGAACTTTGTACGTGTGTGGGTGCGTGCATGTGTGTGTGCACACGCACACACACACACACACCTTCTAGCCAACCAGATGATCACCCACAGCTGTAGCCCTCCTGGGGCGATGTACTTGCAGACAGATGCTCCAGACCAGTCGAAATGGGACGCAGATCACATACATAACTACAGATTTTCTAGTAACCATATAAGGAGCCCTGGTGGCACAGTGGTTAAAGCACACAGTTGCTAACCAAAAGGTTGGCAGTTCAAAACCACCAGTAGCCCTGAGAGGGAAAAGGGGACTGATGAACTGCTTCTGTAAGGACATACACCTTTGGAAACTCTACCGAGCATTTCTAGTCTGACCAGTACTGTTCCTGTAAGTTGGAATTGGTTCTGGGGGAACCCAATAAGAAGTAACCACTTTTAAAAAATGAAAAGAAACCATGAAATAAATTGAAAGAATGTATTTAATTTAGTATATCTAAAATACTGTCATTTCTGTGTATGACACTAGCCATGCTCAAGTGCTCAGTAGCCACATATAAGTGGCTGGTGAATTGGACTGTTCAACTCCAGAAGATAATATTTCCTAACCAGTTAACCAGTTACCAGTGTCGATTCCACTCATGGCCACCCATGTGTATCAGGCAGAGTACACCGGTCTCCAGAGAGTTTTCAGTGGCTGGTTTTTCAGAAGTAGGTCACAAGGCCTTCTCCCAAGGGGCCTCTGGGTAGACGCAAACCTCCAACCTTCTAGTTTGCACCACTCGTGGACTCCCAAGTTTCCTTAACAGGAAGGAAGTCTTTGGCTGAGTTCCATGTAGATTATGACCCATTTTCTTCTGGGATCTCATGATTCCAGTGTCCCAGTTGAATTGGCTTTGTTGAAATCGTCTAAGCCATTCTCACCTATAGAGGAGGTACAATGAGATGGCAGAAGTTAAGGAGATCTGCACATGCAGGTGAGTGTGCAGCCTATTGAGTGCCCTGGAGACGAACTTCTGACAAGGGGTGAACAGCAGCGGGTTGGTGTCCACTCAACACCCATTACATCCCACTGGGGCCTAAACCCCTTACCATCACGTCTCCTGTGCCAGGAGCATTCTCCTTGGCATCTGCCTAGTAGCTCCACTCAGAATTATGACTCTTTGTAAAGCCGCAGGCCAACCCATTGCTGACCATCTTTTCACTCTAATTTTAGACACAGTTCCAACCTAAACCTCCACCAAAAAGTTTTGACCCAAGAAGCATTGGAGAGCAGTGAAGACCATTTCCACCCAGCTTACCTTCTGAAAGATGTGGCTAAGGGGCCTTACCCGGATGTGGCTTTCACACAGCAAGCCTCCCAGACATCTGTCATCTTCAAGGGGACAAGTCGGATGGGCAGTCTGGTGTACCCAATAACCCAAGTCCACAGTGCTGGCTTGGAGAGCTACAGCTCTGGCCCCCCAAGTGAGGGCACCGTTCTGGATCTGAGCACTACCTCAAGCATGAAGTCCGAGAGCAGCAGTCATGCCTCGTGGGACTCGGACGGGGTGAGCGAGGAAGGCAGCATGCTTATGGAGGACAGCGATGGGAACTGTGAAGGGCCAAGCCTGGTCCCCGGGGAAGATGGCTACCCCATCTGTGTCCTGATGGAGAAAGCGGACCAGAGTCTAGCCAGCTTGCCTTCTGGGTTGCCCATAACGTGTCACCTCTGCCAAAAGACATACAGTAACAAAGGGACCTTCCGGGCCCACTACAAAACTGTACACCTCCGCCAGCTCCACAGATGCAAAGTCCCAGGCTGCAACACCATGTTTTCATCTGTCCGTAGTCGAAACAGACACAGCCAGAATCCCAACCTACACAAAAGCCTGGCCTCATCTCCAAGTCATCTCCAGTAACAAGATGGCAAACCAAATACGGTTGGATATGCATCCATCCATTATAATTCAGGAATAAGGCAGTCCAAAGAAATGCCCCTAGCTTTGCTCAGTACCATTTGGGGCAAAACACTCTCAAAGGACTTGATTTGACTTCAGAGTTTTCCACAAAAGGATGAACAAGAGGGAAAGCCTTGCGTGAAGTTGGCATGAAGGCAGCCCTTCCAAAGTATTCTTTTCTTAGCCCAAGAAGAGTTTTCACTGACATAAAGAAAACTTACAGAAACTCTGTTTTCCCCAGATTTGTTTACATGTTCTTTGGGGGAGCTCCAGGTCTGCAGATCAACAGGGGTCCAGGACCTGGAAAATGGTGGGGAGGGGGTGTTTAAAGGGAGGTTTGCAGTATTAAAGTGTGTGTTAGGGAAGAAGTCTGTCACCAGGGTTAGGAAGCCAACCCCAAAGATTCTATTTTCAGATTTTTCTTTAATAAGTATAAATCCAGACTTGAGTTAGGAGACGGAAATGCCTTTTTGAGACCATCCCTCCATTTGGAGTGGAGAATCGCACTTGTAGGATTTTTTTTTTTTAATTTGTTTTGTTTTCATTCTAAAGGTCTCGTATTTCTCCAAGGAGTTGTCAGAGGAAGTAAGTTGGCCTCAAACATGTTCCTTGTTAATTTTTAATCTGTAACATAAGTTCAAGAAGTGAGGGGGAACATATTTCATACATTTAAACAATAGTGGTCTTTGATTTAATTTAAAAATAATTTTGATACTATTTAATTTGTCTTGATGTTACGTGAGTATCTGGGGTGAACGCTGTTCTACATGCTGGCTGTTGTCAAAAAGGGACTCTCACCAGTCCCATGAAACAGCACCAGCTCCTGAAATGCAGCCTTTGTAAAACTCTTACTACAAGTCTGTGGTTGGTTTAAAAAAAAAGGCATCATCAGAATTCAAAGTCATCACCTTTTACAGTTACGGTTGATTTAAGTAATGAAAATATCCCAAAGAGAATTGGGGATTGTAAGAGAGATTATTCCTCTATCCTAAACGTTTTTTTTAAAAGCCAACAACCTGTTACTGATTATTTTCTTGTTGTTTTTTTGTTTGTTGTTTTTATTAATAAATGTGACATCTTCATACCTATTTCTGCTGGAAATGAGACATATCTTTCAGCTGTTCTGTTACCAAGCTGTTTAATATTCCAGCTTCCCCAAAGTAGAAAAAATTGTATACAAATGAGTTTTCTATGATTTAATAAAAATATATGACACACCTTTTGTTTAAGAAGGCAAATACTTGTCAAAGTGGTTTTTTCATCTGAACTGTCTTTTGTACACGTGCTTGCACATCTTTGCTGTCTCACACACACAGACAACACACACACACATACTCAGTATGAAATTTTAGAGCTGACAGCTCTCAGGGGGCCTGAGAGTCATCAATGTCTTACTCCCCTAAGGCTGCCTGAACAAGAACACCACAAGTAAGTGATTTACAGAGCAGACATGTACCAGCTCATAGTTCTGGAGGCAAGACGTCCAATCAAGGCACTGGTTGTAGGAGAGGGTCCTTGCTTGTGGGTAGCCCTGGGCATTTCTTGGCTTTCAGCTGGATCTCCACACAGTCTCTTCCTCCTGTGTGTGAGACTCTCTCTGCTTTTTTTTTTTTAAATGAGACACCACTCAGAAGGGATTATGTTTAGGATCCATGCTACATTAGTGTGACTTTCTTAGCATAATACAACTCCAGCTTCCAAATAGGGTCACGTTCACAGGTCTGGGTGGGGGTTAGAATGTCAGCGTGAATCTCTTGCGGGAACACAGATGACTCTGTCATAGTAACTACTTCTACATTCAGAAAGGAACTGTAGCAATGAGTTCAAAAAGAAAGTGAATCTTGGGAATGAGGACCGGGAATGAATCTTTAATCAAGGAATTTATGAAAGTCAATGATAAAAAAAAATCAGTCGTGTTGTGTCAAAGTTTTAGTTAGTTACCCAATGCTCTAAATAGAAGGCAGTAAAATTTAAACCTCTTCATATTTGTTAAATATACAAGGTTAAACACACACATACACATGTTTTTCTGACTTGCCCTTTAGCTTCATCACCTGTCCTTTATGTGTAAAGTCATAATCCCATCTGTCCATCTGCCCCACTCTCAGTTGATGTCCTCGCTCATACGTCATTGGGAGAAATCATCAGGGGGGAACGGTTTCACCTGCCAGCAGTTACAATGCTCCCGGCTCCAGGCCACAAATCTTGGGCCTGAATTAACACAGTAACCTCCCAACTGGTCTCCCTGCTTCCACTCTTACCCCCAGCAGAATGGTCCTTTTAAGATGAAAAGGAGAGCAAGCGCCCCGCCTCAAAACCGTCTAGTGACTTCCCAGAACCGTTGGTATAAAATCCCAAAGGCAAGGAGCTACACCATCTTCCTGTCCCCTATTGCTTCTCCATCATTTCCCACTAGTCTTCCACCACGGCCCTCACCTGCTAATCTCATCTTTCCTTCACAGTGGCTCTTCCACCCTCCACAAGGTCCCATCCCACCGACACCTCCTGTTCGCAGTAACTGATCTCACTTCTACTCTCCGAGAACTGGATGGTTGTTCAGCCAGCTTCTCCATTGCCCACCACCTTCCTATTTGTTGGTCAGAATCCACACACATCCTTGTGTGCTCCCATCTACCTGGACCTGAGAATGTGCCTTGTGTCTGGAGGTAGTGGGCCCTCAGCTACAAACCTTTTAAGACATGGTGACCAGCATCTGCCTGCACCCCAAGGTTACATCAGATCATAGTAGCTTCCCTAGGCGCAACACCGATCATTAAGGAAACCAAGTTTCCCTTTCTGGGTTTATCCATTTGTGTCTATGGATAGTTATGTCAGCCTGGATCCTCTGAGAAGCAAATGCCAACAGGAATAAACGTGCAAGGATTTTCTTAAGGAAAACCCATGACCGATTATTGCATCAATGCCCATCAATTGAAGAATGGTTAAACAGGGTACATCCACACAATGGAATACTACACAACGTTGAAACATAATCTGTGAAACACCTTGTAACATGGAGGAGCCTGGAGGACATTATGCTGAGTAAAATTAGTCAATTACAAAAGGACAAATACTGTATGAGACCACTGTTATAAAAAATTAAAAGGTTTTTTGGCTAAAAAAAATTATATTTTTGTTACCAGGGATGAGAGGGAAGGGGAAATTATTTATAGGCTAGAAGGTAGACACATGTTAACATGGGTGGCAGGGAAGGCAATATGCAAGAGGGAAGTTAGCAGAAGATAAGGTAGCGGAAGGTGGAGAGATGCAAGAGTTAAAGTGACTAGGCATAAATACTGTTAACTGATGATACATGGGGACTGCAATCACTGTAATGAAATGAATGTAATTTATTGAATATAGAACTCCTGATCTGCTCTTTACTCAATTCACAATAAAAAGTAGCAACAGCAAAACTTGTGACATAGGACGGGACCAGAGGAGGCTGGGAAAGTTAGCAGACACAGTACAGACGTGTCGCAAGTGGAAGAGAAAGGGAGGAAGGCTGTGCAGTCTAAGGAAGGTCCAGCAAGGTCCTCATCTTTCTAAAGACCCTGCGTCTTGTTCAAGGTGGACTCAAACCTGTTCTTGGCTCGGGACTCAGAAGAAGGAAATCTCAGCTCGTTAAAGATTGGTCTACTCACTGCTCCAACCTTCGGGGGGGATGATGCTCCATCACTTTTCCCATCACTCATCAAACTCATCCCTTCTACAGGTCCCATGTCTCTAGCCTGTAACCCTCTAATCCTCTGACCCATTCTAGTGACTGTTCTCTCCTCCTCCTTGTTCCGTTTATATCCTTAAAATAATCATTTGTTTCTTCGCCTCTACCCTAGTCCTTGAACTCCTGGTTTTTCTTTCATCTGAAAATGGGCTCCACTCTCACCAGTGACTTCCTAATGGTCATATCCAAAGGACACTTAGGTTCTCTTTCTATCACACTCATTGAGTATTGGCATCCTCTGGTCCCAACAGCCGTGGTCCTTTCTTCTCATTCTGCATGTTCTCCCTAGGTTGTGTCATCCATTCCCAAGACTAACTGCGGGCCGTTGTGTGCCATCAAGTGGATTGTTGACTCATCGTGACCCCATGTGACAAAGGAGAACTACCTCATAGGGTTTCCTAGACTGTAATCTTTAGGGGGTGGAGGGGAGGATCCTGGTGTGGCCATGTGGGATAAAGCACTGTACTGCAAAGTCTGTTTGAATTGCAAAGTCAGAGGTTCCAACTCACCAGTCACTCTTTGGAAACTCTATGCATGGTCCCTATGAGTCAGAACCAACTCAATCGTACTTAACAACAACAACAACCTTTATGGGAGCAGATCACTAGGTCTTTCACCTGTGTGGCTGCTGAGTGGATTTAAGCCATCAACTTTTCTATTTGTTGTTGTTGTGAGGTGCCGTTGAGTCGGTACAAACACATAGCGACCTTATGCCCAACAAAATGAAACACCGCCTGGTCCTGTGCCAACTTCACAGTCATAGCTATGTTTGAGCCCATTGCTGCTACCACTGGGGTCCATTGGGGTCTTCTTTTTCGCTGACCCTCACTTTGCCAAGCATGATGTCCTTCTCCAGGGTCTGGTCCCGTCTGATAATATGTCCAAAGTATGAGAGACAAAATCTGGCCATCATAGCTTCTAAGGAGCATTCTTGTTGTACTCCTTCCAACACAGATGTTCTATTGGCAGACAGATACTTTGTGCCATTAGGGCTCCTTAACTGCAGTCTGCTGCCTCCTAAATCTATACCACCACCAAGATTCTTTCAGAGCTGCCATTTTGACTGGCAACTGCCCACTGGATGTCATGGAGTAATCCACAGCATCTCCAGTTCAATTTGTCTGAAACTCAATTTGTCATTCCTCACCCTCCCTACGAAGACATTTTCTTCCCTCTTTCCTCAGAGTGAGGAAATGATACTATCATCAAGTGACCAACCCAAACTGTAAAATCTAGG